AGGCCCAATGCCCTACCCTGGAAAATAGGATCCCACTTAGGTGTACGGCCTGTGGAGGGAGGCACCCGGCCTGGGTACGGTGGTGCCCGGAAGCAGTTAAAGCCCGGGGTGCGGCAAGGGAGGCATACTTTTTCCGGCCGAGGACCTTTGAGCTGGCCCTTCAGAACAAACAACAACGACAACAGCCACTACAACAGATGCGGAATATTACCTTCCAGGGGGTCCAAGACCCAATGGAGGAAGCCGACGATGGCTTCCAAGAAGCAGGAAAAAGGAAGCGGCTCCGGGGTCGACCCCCCGGCTTCGCTATAGCCCAGGAGGGGGCATGAAGAGACCCGAGGCAGGGAAAGCTAACCTTTGCGATGCGGGTTAATACAGCGCTGGCCGGCCAAGGCCAGGTGGGAGGTATGCAGGGGGCTGAGTAGGCTCCTTTAACCTGTATCGCGACGAAGTCTCCGAACCCGATGGCCTGGAAGAACGGTATATAGGTTTTTCATCCGGCTAGAACTCCCTAGCACGGTTTTCCTATATAGGCTAGCTAGTAGGAGGACCGGCACGCCCCCTGTAGGGTATAACGGCGTAGGAAACAATAAAACAATAATATTATAGAAGGGTTAACGTATATTATAAGCGAGCGACGCATATAAGCGAGCGACGCACTTTCTACCACCTTGCAACAACTATCTACAATCACAACACAACAACCCTAGTAACTAACTACAATTACATCGGAAACAGCTGCATCAGAGACCTCTGTAGCCTCCTGACAAGTACGCGCATTATGGCCAGGCTTGCCACACTTACTACAGCGCCGAACCTTCGCACGAGCCCCCCCTGCACCACTACTATCCGGCTGTGTTTCCTGCGGTGCCCCCTTACCCACAGCCCTCTGGTCCAGTAGATCCTGTGCATCCTGTACAGTAAGTGACCCTCCAAGCTGTACACGTGTTTTTTTGGCCCCTCCGTCGCTTGCTCAGTGCCTCGTTGGCCTTGCGGAGCGAAGGAAGGCCTCTGACTGAAGGAGAGCCAACCTGGTGCATTACAGCCGTTGTACCTTTGGTAAGCTGGTCAACAGCAGCCAACATTGGAAGCTGGGGAGCTGTTTTGATGGCTGGCAATGCGAGACTTAATAAGGGTTTGACTGCGAGCTGGCTTCCTGGGCGTTGTGTGGGGTTTTGGAGACCCAAGGTTGTGCAGTACCGGGCCGTGAGGTCGGGGGTGTTGGTGTACGAAGCCTTTATATCCAGCTTGGAAAGCACCCTCTCTGGATCGTACGGTACGATGCCAGCTCCTGCAAAGCCACCCTGGATATTCCTCTCTGTCATGGAAGCAAAGAAGGCTTCGCGAAAGGCACAAAGGAACTCGAGCTTGGTGATATGGTTGATGTGTGCGCGCATCAGCTCCTCGATCAGGCGACCGTATGCCTGCTTCAGTGGCCCGAAGCAGCCAACATCAAGTGGCTGGCACTTGTGGGAGGAGTGTGCAGGCATGCAGAGTGTGATGATCTTGTTGTCCCGGCAGTAGAGCTCGAACTCGGGGGAGTGGTGGCTTTCGTGGCCGTCGAGGATCAATAACCGGTATATACCCTTTGTCCGGGGCGCCGTATGGTAGTCGAAGTGCTTGATCCAGTCAAGGCCAACTGCATTGGTAGTCCAGCCATTGTCGGTAGTTGCCATGCGCCAGTCGAGTGGTAGATTGCACTCGCGGTACCAGTTGGCGAGGTGGTATTGCGCGGCCAGGATGATGAATGGAGGGATGGCCCAGCCAAGGGCGTTAACTCCCTGGATTACAGTCGCCCACTCGCGGTTACCAGGCTGGGCTAGTTTAGCCTTGCTACGGCCGTCTGAGGTCGTAACTACCATACCCGCGAAGATGATGCCCATCATAAACCCAGTCTCGTCGAAGTTATAGACATCGTCATCAACAATCCCATATTTGGCCCTAGTGTTCTGTACAAGCGTAAACCACTGGCCAATGATCTTTGGATCTTCGCTCTTGGCCCTCTGGTAGTCGTATCGACGCGTACGACACGTACGGAGCTGTGGCTGGCGTTTAACAAAGTTGTGGGCCCAGAGCTTGCCGACAGGGGGAGCATCGCGTTCGCGGAGCAGGTGGTTGGCCATATCTTCCACACCACGCAGCCTAGGGGGAAATGCACGCGCATCCAGTTCCAATATATATTGAACTATCGTACGCTCTTCCAGGTCCGTAAGCTTACGCGAGTTGGCTGGTAAATCGCGTCGTGCAGACCGGCCAAGTACGTCGGTGGCGAATCGTTGCTTCGGGAACGTTGTACAGTCTGGCTGCGGCCCGGATACTGAGAATTTTTGTTCTTTCCGATGGCTTCAATGGCCATGTGAAGCCTGGCTTCTTTTGGGGGGCTACGCATGGCTGGTTGTGGTGGGATGTGGTGGAACAGGTAGAGGAGACGCGTCGCGGGGAACAGTGCGTCGCTCGCTTATATGCGTCGCTCGCTTATAATATACGTTATAGAAAGAGTTAGAAATTAAAAGAAAGCTTTTATTACTAGTAGGTATAGAAGGTAGGTAGTTTTTGAAATAGAAACTCTGAGTCCGTGCACCCACCTCCCGGTCAGGCCTCCAACCGATCAAATTTCCCCATCTGCCTCCCCATTTTCAGTATCTACAGGAGGGTCAAAAATTGACCATTCCAGCCACATATCTTCAAATACATATCCATCCACTTTCTCTGAGGGTTCTAGCTGCTTCGCAAGTGCTTTTTTAGCCTGCATGATCTGTTCAATCTGGGCAAACCGGGTGTTGGGATCCATCCTGACTTTCTTCCTTTTTCTCGGCCTTAGTCTATCTACCTCAGCTTCTAGTTCCGGGATCTTCTGTTCTTAACTAGCTACCTTGATGGCTGTATTATCCAGGCTTTTGCCCACCTTTTTGAAAAGAATCCTAGCCACTGGGTCTATCTATTGTTTGCAGTCGTCGTAGACGGACATTTGTTGATATCAATCTGTGGACCTCCTGGCTGCGGTTTGGAGTCTTGATTAGCCGACGGTCACTGGCTGGCTGGCTGGCTGGGTTCAACAGTAGACGAGTCATCAGAGGTTTGTCTAGGTTGACTGGCCACAATTCTGATGCCTTCCGGCCACTTCGGATATTCCTTTCTGTGATGGCATCCTTCCTGGCTTGCGCATAACACCGTAAGAAGAGCCTCTTGCCAATGGGGGCACAGTCTGTCATCACAGTGAGGTCGTTGATACCACGGCGGTAAGTGGTCTTCAACGGAGAGAAAACCGACAGGTCGAGGGGCTGTAGAACGTGGGAGGCATGTCCAGGTAAGAAGAGGAGGTAGATATTGTTGGAAAAACAGGTCCACATGAAGTCGTCAGTCTCGTGGCTACCGTGGCCATCAACAATAAGGAGCCTCTTCTTCGATGTCGCCGTCGTCGGACAAAACATCTTTGTCAGCCACTCGAGGGCATTATCATAAGATGTCCAGCCATTCTGACTCGTCGAAAACCGCCAGTTGCGTAATGGATCAAGGTCTTGGTCGTTATCAGGGAGCCACTGTTGTTGGATGTCTTTCCCCTTGAAGATGACTAACGGTGGGAGAGCTTTTCGGGTTGCTGAGATGCACTCTATAATGGTTGTCCAGATCCGGGACTCGGGATGTTTCGACAACGCTTCCTTCGTCTCCGATAATGCAACGCATAAGCCGTTGATTCCCAGACCTTCCATTATCCCTGTTTCATCCATATTCCAACGGTCCTGCGGGTCAATTGTCTGGATGACTGGGATCGCGAGATGGAACCAGGCCTTGATAACATCAGTACTAGCTGCATCCAACCGTTTGATATCCATACGTCTATCTTTCTTTGTCTTTAAAACTGGATATCTTCCGATGAACTTCTGAAGCCAGTGTTCACCGATAGTCTGGTCAGATCCAGAGGCACGGAGGATACGGTTAGCGAAGACCTCGATTTGTCGATGCTTCACCGGAAGCCCTAGAGCTTCCTGGGCAAGAACCCAGTCGGCCAAGTGTTTTTCTTGATCAGGGCTGAGCTTCTGCATCACCTGTGCTTCGTACTGTCCCTTCGGTTGGGCGTTGGCGACGACTCGGTCCCGGAGGGTAGAAAAGGAAACTCCCCATGCCTCGCTAGCTTTGCGGATGGATTGGCCATCCCTGACGGCTTGGATTGCCTGCTGGATGTTATCTTCTGAAGCCATGGAAGGGACAATTTGAATAAGAGTAATGGAGCTAAATTTGAGCTTGTTTTGGTAGAACTGGGTGGTTTGGAATAGAGAAGGTGCCGAATCAGGGGGAGAAAGATTTGATCGATTGGTAGCCTGACCGGGAGGTGGGTGCACGGACTTACTTTAGATCTCCTTCAAGGATAGATTTCATATTCCTTACCTTCTGTTTTCTCCTAAGAGTTATTATATATATTAGTAGTGTTATTTATACTCCGCTGTGCCCTAGGGCGTGCCGGACCCTCTGCTATTTTTTGTGTACAGGAAAACCGTGCCTTCCCGGGCCGGGCGAAAAATCCATACCAATAATCAAGGAACGATGCGTTCTGGTGAGTCTGCGTATACAAAGAGAGGAGGCCTCCTGGCCTCCGAACGGGGGCGCTTCAGGCCGCCGCTTCTAGCTCGAGCCTCCTGGCTAAGCTGTACATCGGCAGCTTCCCCGAGTTCATCAGCTAGTCGAGGACTCTCCTCGCGAGCCGTGCAGTCGTGGGATTGATGCCGTGTAGAACAGAGTAAAAGTCCCGTCGTGTCCGAATTCCAGTTCTCTCCCGTCTTCGAGTCAACGGTGGTGCCAAACACCACACTACCAGGTGTTCGGCAGTCTCTCGTCCCTCGCCACACTCGCAGGCAGGAGTCAGAACCTCCGGGACTTCCCGTGTAAACAAGAAGTCCCGTAAGCCTATTGCTCCCGTCCGGATTTGAATCAGCAGTGAGCTCTTTGCCTTGCTGAGACCGTCGTGCCTCCTTAGGGTTTCGTTCCGGAATAGCGTCTCCTGCTGATGGTCAAAGTCGTCTGCCGGCCTGGTGATTGCCCTGCCGTCCCGTTCCTTTAACCACCTGGCTTTCCAAGCCTCTTCTACTACCCTGTTCGTATCAACGGTTCCCCCCGTCCAGCGCATGACCGTGCCCGCGGCTCTCTCCACCGCCGTAGGCCCTTGAGGTCCCGAGGTTCGCGGTCGGCCCCTGTTGCCCCTCCTCGAGCTAAGCCCCTGCTGTATCTTGCGGCAGCCGGTGAGGACAACGCTCGCCGCCGTCGAGGCTATATATAATAACTAGAAAGTGAAAGCAGAAGGTAAGGAGTATCGAATCTATCCTTAAAGGAGATCTAAAGTATGAGAGTTTCCATTTGAAAAACTACCTACCTTCTGTATTACCTACTAGTAATAAAAACTATCCTTTACTTTCTAACTCTTTCTATAACCATTGTATATTAATACGTAAAACTAAGTTATAATCCACTCCAGCTATATTAAATTAGGTTAAAACCTAATAAATTATGGAATAAAACCATAGCTATCAGAAGAACTATAGATATAGATAGAAAAATATCTATAAAAAGGGTTACCTAAATCCTCTTCTCCCTCTTCTCCTCTCTCCTATAATACTTTAAGGGCCTTTTAATTAGGGAGAAAGATCTCTTACGTTTACCTATATTACAATAAGATGTCTATATCTAAATAATTTATGAAGGTATTGTGACGGCAGCTGCCGTTGGGGTGCACTGTGGCTCCACTTGGTTGGGCACGTGACCACACGCGCTGGCATTTAACTCCTGTATCGCGCGAGCTCTTCCAGCTTCTCTTCCTTTTCTCCCCATCTTGCAATTAGTAGAAATAGAGCCTCATCGGCATGCCCCCGCGCCTCGCCCAAATGTCCCTCGTCTCTCACAGGTATTATAGCTTACTAGAAAAAGAAGTAGTTAACTCCTAGTTAGAAAAAATAGTTAAGCTTGTTACAAGAAATACCCGATATTATTATTATTATTATTATTATTTCCTACACCGATATGCCCTGGGGCGCGCCGGTCCTTCTACTGCTATTTACAAAGGAAACCGTACCGTATAGGCCGGATAAAAACCTCTGTCTACCACTTTGAGACAACAATCTATGAATCCGTCATACTGCAAAAAGAAAGGAGGCCCTTTGCCGGCCTCCGGGCCCTCTAGCCCTCCCCATCCACTGTTTCTAGCTCCAGCCTTCTGGCCAGCCTATACTCCAGTAGCCGGCCAGAGTCCATCAGCCAGCCAAGGACCTTCCTAACAAATCTTCTGCTCCGGGCACCTACTCCCCGTAATACGGTTTGTAGGTCCCGATGTGACCGAATCTCTCTGCCGTCCCACGGCCTTTGTAACGGCGGGTCGGCGCACCAAACCACCAAGTGCTCCACTGTCTCCCTGCCCCTCCCGCACTCGCAATAGGGGGTACGGACCTCCGGGACTTTCACCCTGAACAGGTAGTCCCGGAGGCCTATATCCCCGATACGGGCCTGGGAAAGGAGGGAGCTCTGCGCCTTTGTAAGACCTTCGTGTCTCGTCAGAGCTTTGTCGGTAAATAAGAGGGCTGGGGGGTCTTCGTCGGCTATCCTCCTGTTTAATACCCTCTGTCGAGTAGTACTTTGTTGACTAGCTCTCTGTTGTTCCCACCGGGCCTGCCAGGCCAGTTCGACCACCTCCTTGGTATTCGACCCCCTATCCTCCCCCCCGATCTTCCATCTGTAGTTAACCCACTGGGCAACTACACTAGCGGCCAGTTCAGTGGGCGTGGGACTCTGCGGGCCCTGGCGGGGCCTCCGGCCTCGGGTTTTCCTCCTCTAATTGAACCTTCGGTAGACCTTATTGCAGGCCTCAGTGATTAGATGCCCCGTGGTTATTCTCTCAGCCTCCGGCCCAGCCCCTGATTGTAGGGCCTGCTTCTGTAGCCGGCCCTCGAAGTCAGCCAGCCGCTTGTTGAGATATAAGTCCAGCGGTGGCACCCAGGCCTCTGTTTCTAGGCACCGAATAGGAGCTGACTTGTATGCCCCTACTACTATTCGGAGGCTCCTGTTCTGAGCTTTCCACAAGACCTTTGCAGGCCCCTTCGGCCCTGTAACTCTTGGAGCTGTTGGTTGGTGGAAGCTGGAGGCTCCGTAAGCTATGGCACTGCGGATGCACTTTACGTAGACCTCCCGAGCCCTGGATAGGCTCGGGCCCCACGTCTTTACTGCAATCCTCGATAAGGCGAAATCTTGGGTTTTGAGTTTCCGTTCCACAGCTTGTTGGTGCGCCCTCCATGATAGCTTCCAGTACAGCCAGACTCCTAGGAACCGAGCCGATTCCACTGGCTTAACTTTGCTGTAGCCACTAGCCCCTGGGTGGGCCAGGGCCACCGGATTCTCCCACTGTCTCCGACCTTTGTTGAAGTGAATTAATTCGCACTTTTGAGGTGCGAACGCCATCCCCCGGGTACCAGCCCACTGCAAGCAGGTCTTCCAAGCTTTTTCCAGTTACTGTGTATTGGCCTCTGGGTTCTTTCCAAAGGCCAGTAGGTTTGTGTCGTCTGCGAACCCTACTATGCTAACCAGTGGATGAGCTGTTTTCAGGGCCTGATATAGGGAGGCAATGTAGAGGATAAAGAGGATCGGGGATAGTGGTGAGCCCTGGGGGACTCCCGCTATGACTGGGATGTCCTCTGTTTTCTGGCCGTCGAAGTGGAGGATCGCAACTTCTAGGATAAAGTTAAAATCCAATAGTTCTAGGTAATACTTTGTTCCTTTAATCTTGTCCGAAGCACAATATTGCGCTCAAACCTTTGGAAATTTTTATGAAAAATTTATAGAAAATGTCTCTTCGTACTGTAGGAAGCGTCTCCCCGTACTGTAAAAAAAAATACTGCCGCACTACGTGACCAATTCTGCCGACCCCACCAGCGCCACTCCAACCACCTTCCAAAGCTTCCAAGCACCACACCATCGCAATCGTCATACATCACAATCGACCTTAACCAATGCCCTCGCGCGCGCGCGACAATCAAGGTAAGTTTTGGCCATTACAGCCTTTTCGGATCGCTAATTGGCTGTTAGATGGCCCCCAAGCCGCGCGACGGCGACCGAAGCGATTCCGAAAGCGATGCCAATACGCCGATACCCCCGTTTTCGAACCCGCCTGCCAACCACCCCCTGTTTACAACCAAGTACGATACCCTTGATGATCTGATGGAGGTTCTCCACGATCACGCAGCGAAGGCACACTTTTCCGTTGTCAAGGGCCGAAGTTCGAACAAGGTGGAGGACATCGGTTATACCAGATTCGATATCCTGTGCCAAAAAGGCAAGATTCGGCCATCAGAAGCTCATTCTCGGCCATCTTCAACAAACAAAAGGGGTTGCAAGTGGCAAGCCGTTGCCACTGCGCTCAAACGCAACGGGAGAAAATGGTCCTGCGAGCTTGTTGATGGCGCCACCGAGCACAACGACCACCCTACCCCTACCGAAAGTGATGACTTCGTCGCCACACGATCTTTTGAACCGGAACACAAGGCTCTCATCGCAAGTTATCTTGACCGGCCGGCCATCAAGAACCGAGAAATTGCCATCGAGCTTCGGCGCCAGTTCCCAGGTATCCTGTTCACATCGAAGCAACTCCGCAACGCGCGCCATCGCCTCCGCAAGCAGTCTCGAGGCGGTCACACCCCATTCCAGCTTATGATGAAGCTGCTTGACGAGAAGGGGATTTATTACCAAGTTCTATGGGCCAAGGACTCTTCTAACAACGAAGGAGTCGAGATGCGGAAGCCTGAGGGCCTGTTTTGGACTACTACCTGGTGTGAGCAGCAGTGGGTTCGGTACCCCTGGGTACAAATGTATGACAATACCTACAAAACAAACAACAAGGGCCTAGCTCTTTTTCAAGTCGTTGGCCGTAATCATTTAGGCATGAGCTTCTCTTGTGGTTTTAGACTGATCAACAACGAGAGGCAAGAAGGCTTCGACTGGCTCATGGATGCCGTTAACTCTGTACGCGAAAGAATTAGCGCTCAGAAGCCTCTAGTTACGATAACTGACTACGATACAGCCATGCGCAATGCCGTTGCTAAGGTATACCCAGATGCCAGGCCTCAGATCTGCGTTTTCCACCTGAATAAGAATGTGAAGCTCCAGATCGCCAAAAAAGTGGAACAAAGCCGCTGTTGCCGAAGTTGCCATCGCCCTGGCCGCTCAAGAAGAGCTTCGAATCGCAACACAAGCTCAGGGGCAGCCTATAGCTACACCACCAAGCGCCCAGAGGGCTGAGGAAGAAGATCCGGTTTTTGAAGGTCAAAAGAGAATCGCCAACCGCGTGAACCCAGATCCAGAGCAACAAGGCGAGCCTTTGCCACCTGTTCAGGGGGTTGTTGAGTACTCGATGGCTGGCCTCTATAAGTTGTGGGTGCATATGGTATACGCAGCTACTGTGGAGGACTTCAATCTGGCATGGGAGAAGCTCCAAGCCTACTTTCCACAGCAAACAGCTATACTGAAGTATCTCGAAGAAAGCTGGCTGCCGGTACGTCAACAGTGGGCTCATTGCCACATTTCGAACAACCTCAACTTCGGCGAGCGCACTACAAGCCCTGTTGGATCGATCAACTTCTACCTGAAGTCTTTCGTTGTGAACGGCAACACTACTGTTGAGGAGCTTGGAACCCAGTCATTCGCCATGGTCGAGGCAATGGAACGGCGCATTGCAGATGCTACTAGGGAACAAAAGAACCGGATTCTTCGTGAATATCTCGGTGTGCCTTGGCTTGGAAAGGCGCCGTTTACCGTATCTCGTAAGGCTTTGAAGCTGGTTATGAAGCAATACAGGCTGATGCTCGGCGCCGTCAAATCCAATAGCAATCCACGGCCTTCAGATCTACCGCCCTGTACTAATCGTTTCACAACGCAGTTTGGCATACCCTGCAACCACGAGCTTCTAAGAAGGCACGAGGCCAAGAATCTACAGCTTCAGAAGGAAGATTTCCATCCATTCTAGTGGCTGGATAGGAGCCTTGTTGACGAGGACCAGTATTTGCAGTACCAGGAGTTTGACCGAGTCACCAATCTCAGGGGTAGGCCCAGGGGCTCCACAGCCTTTGAAGCGGCATCGGGGCCCCTCAGCTATCAGCACCACTGCCCCAAGGCAGCCAGCTGATAATTCCAGCTACTCAGTTGGTAGTTCCATCCAGCCAGCCGCCTGACAACGGTCAATCAGCTGCCAGCGGGCGTGGCCGTGGCCGTGGCCGTGGCAGTGGCAGTAGTGGCGCCGCTCGTGCTCGTGGCGGGAACCTTAGAGGCTCGATCCGAAGAGTGCCCTCGTCGTAGGAAGGCGCGAGGCTTGATGGGGACAGCCAGCGGGCTGCAGAGACAGTTACAGGCAGTGGAATGGCTGGAATACCGTCAAGTGCGCCCGCCAGAGGTCGAGGGTCAAGGGGGGTATCAGGAAGCGACCCGCCGCACGCAGGGCCAGTCGTCAGGTAACCCAGCAAGTGGCTGAACAGGCGGCAACCCAGATTGAGCTAGGTACGCCTGTTCAAAGCCAGGTGGAGGGGCCAAACTAGATCTGGTCGATCACAGGGCCTAGATAGCTTAGGCAATCAATTGAACAGACCATTGGGACTTGATTTGACTGCAGAAATGGAAGAATTGGCTTTGGAATTGCTTGCGCACGCGCTGGTTGCTCCCTTGCGCGAGTGGAGGGCGGGGGCGGTGTGGAAAATACAGTACGGGGAGACGCTTCCTACAGTACGAAGAGACATTCTCTTTGCTAAACATCACAGCTTCCGATTCATCGCGCTGAACACTCTGATAAGGCAACAGGCGAGGGGTCAGAGGCGATTCTACGTCAGCAAGAACCACCGCACACCTCTTACGAAGGAAGCCCTTCAAGAGGCGCTTGCCGACCCAGACAGACCGGAAGCTCAGGCTATCCTCAACCGGATCTTTCGCTTTGCTGGTGTCATCAAAGGCACACGTCCCTTTTGGTACCGTCGACGTCGTGAGTGCGAGTCTTTTGCACACTGCCTTGGTGTGCCCTCTACTTTCATCACCCTGAGCCCGGCCGATCTGCACTGGCAGAGCCTCTATCAGCACATGCCCGAATACGAGAACTGGAAGGCCCTTGATGAGCTAATTAGTACAAGTTTAATAAGAAGGCCAAGTGGATGGAGTTGGCCGACGGACAGATATTGGCGCTTCGTCTCTCCCGTAACTCAACCCTAGCCCGGATTGTCCTCCGGAGAGGGACAGGAAAATTGCCAGGAGAGGGAGAGAGGAAGGAAGCGCCCCGTAGCGCAGCGAAGGGCCGCGCGACCGACGAACGAAGCGACGCCAGCAATTTTATAGGAGAAGTAGATAAATTTTAGGTTATATCTAACGTAATCCACCATTGACCCGCGCACTTTTCTATTGCACCACGACCTCCAAAGGCAAATGCTCCACCACACCACAAAATACCATGTCCGTGCAAACCCAAGAAGTTAGAATCATCCTTGCCATTGAGGCTATCCGTACGACTAAAAATATGTCTCGCCGACGTGCAGCCGGGATCTACAACGTCCCTGAAACAACCCCCCGCGACAGGATGAACGGAATCACCCCGAAAGCCGACAGCTACCACGGCCGTTCGAATTTGACGAAGATCGAAGAGGAGGTGATTGTTCAATATGTACTTGACCGAGATTCGCGTGGGCTTTCGCCTAGGCCTGCAGACGTGATTGATATGGCCAATCTTCTACTTCAAGAACGCGATGCGCGACACGTCGGAAAGAACTGGACAAGCCGCTTGATTGCACGCCGCCCAGAGTTAGATACGCGTTTTAATCACCTCTATGACTATCAAAGAGGTCTCTGTGAAAATCTTGCAATTATTGAGCCATGGTTCCGACGGGTTGCCAACATGCGTGCGAAATACGGCATCCTCGACTGCGACTTCTACAACTTCGACGAGACGGGCTTCATGATGGACATGATACGGCCAGGCATGGTGGTTACGCGCTCGGATCGGGTTGGTAAACTAAAGGCCATTCAGCCGGGCCATCGAGAATGGGCGACGGCAATTTGCAGCATCGCTGGCGACGGGTACGTGGTGCCGCCTTTCTTTAAGAAAGGGAAGGGCTCCCAAGCACCCACGAAATACTATCAAGCACCCAGCTATACCTAATCGGGATAATCGTTTTTCTTTTACCAGTGACGGACCGTCAGCTCGCGTAACATATGTAATCATGTAAAACAGGGCTAACAGCGCCAGAAGTTCCGAGATTCCCCCAATGGCACAACAAAATCATTATGTCAATTGACGTTGTTCCAACAATCCTGTTTACATGGGAAGGATAGATACTCTTGAGTGACCTCAATCCTCTATAGTAGTGTCTTCTTCCTCGCCTTCGTCGTCTTCCTCAAGAGCTGCAGCATCCTCACGAGCCAGCCGAGCATCAGCCTCTCCGTCAGCAAGCAACGCATCATGTGTATCCTCGATCTCGGGATCAACAGAATCGAGGGCATCAATGATGCGCTGATACGCTCGCGGCGGTGCCGTTCCACGCTCGTATAGATCTTCTTTAACTTCCTGCAGCCGCAGTAACCCCAGCTTTGTAGTTGTCACTGCAGGAGTTGATGTGGCTGCCTCCGTCTCTGATGTAACTGCTACCACAATGCAGTCAGCTTCCTGAGTTTGCCGCCGAGCTTGTAGCTGCGGCTGTTGCTTGCGAGGGCGGCCGCGTGGCTTGCCCGCCGATGGTCCCTTCATTATGAGAGGAGCAGTTGACGGGAACAGCCGTAGCTGGTTCATTCTCGAGCTCATATTCGAACGCCGAAGGCAGCCGCTTGGTACCAGTGATTCACTCACCCTTCTTTTTCGAAGCAGGGACCGAGGCGATGGCCCCAGCAGGTCTGCCTTTACCCTTGACCTTGACGGGCTCAGCGGGATATTTGGCACGCCGTTGATGATCTGCTGCTCCTCTCCGTCGGTCACAGGCCGATAACTCTACCAATGCTTGTGGATTTGCTTCAGCTCAACGGGGCCATCACCGGTAAGATGCTTATAGAGAGTGTGGCGGCAGGGAAGCCCATGGGTAGCCGGCCGCGGACATGTGCAAATATCGCCCTCCCCACACAGCGCGTCTTTCGCGGGTTGCTTTGCCACTTCAGTAGGAAGCAAATGCAATGCGTAAGTTGAAATCTGGCCCCGGATGTAGCTGCAGATGACGCCATGACAGCGAGTAGGGACCTTGTTCGTGTTCCAGGAAGTGTTGTGGTCAAGGGCGCTGCGTTGGTTCTTCTAGAACAGCACGAGGCGCTCGAAGACGCTCTTGAGGTCAACCCTGGATGTGACCAGGTATTTCTTGATGGAAGAATGGGATGATTCAACTGCTGAAGTAGTAATGTGGCCCATGTGAGGCACCTGGTTGGCCCAGCAGATCACTAGTTTCTCCTTCTCGATGTCAGCAAAGATTAGAAAGCGCCCAAAAAGATCCTTACCTTCTTTCAAGGTGTTAGCCACACATTCACGGCATATTTGACCGTTTCCTCTGGATGTTTCCCGGCCAATCTGAATCTGGCAAGCGATTGCTCGTACGCTTTGGGAGTACTGGCAGACAGGTGAGCGTTCCATTCCTTCAGGAATTCCTTGAACTTAGGGTGACGGTGGTATTCGCTGCCCTGCTTGATTGCTGCTGGAAAGAATTGTCGGGTCTTGGAAATCACGTTCATGTTAACGTGCCAGCGGCAGAGGAGGTGTGGAATCGGGCGCCACGCATCGCTAGCTTTGAGGGCAATGAGCAGGGCTAGTTCACGATCTGCAACAATCAGACCAGGGTAGGCGAATGTTGTGCTTCGTTAGGATCCTTAGCTGGGCATCTAGAGCGCCTTCGTAATGATCCTGCTTCTCCCCGCTCATGAACGTGATCGACAAGTTAAAAGTCTTGTTTTCCTGTGTAACGCCGCAGTCGTTAAACATTGGCATCCCGTGGCAATTGGTTTTGTAGGTGGAATCCAGCAAAAGGAGGTCGGGATTCTGCTTGAAGAGCTCCAGGCCGCTCTTGGGAGAGATGGTAAGAGAGGTAATGCGATTTTGGTTGTCCCGGGTGTCGATGTACTCGTACTGGCTCTCAGCAGGCACAAGGAAGTCCTCGTACAAGGTTTGGAGTGGCGAACGGCCCCGGAGTTCCTGGCGGCGATGTTGTTGAAGAAGGTTCGTTATGTCCTTGCCCATGACTCCAACCCGAGCAGCATCTATCGCAGCAAGGATGTGAGAAGGTCTACTGCCAGCGTTGGCCATCTGGATGACCTCTTCCTGATGGACAGCCAAAACTCGGGTGCGGTTCAAAGCAAACGAAGTCGCTTCATTCCAGCCGTGACTGTGACTTGAGAACTCCTCTTCAGGCACCTCTAACAGCCACTTGCCGTCAGCTAGCGGCTTGGCTGTCAGTCGAAACTTGCAGCCGGTTATCTGGGTGCTGGACTTCCTCCGCTTGCTCTCGTGAATTTTGGAGGAGCGTTGTTCTTTGTACTTGCGAGCCTTGGCACATCTGAACTTGTATTTGAGTCCGTTTTTCCCATGCTTGACGATACTATAGTCGTGTGCCAGTCCGTGAGTGCAGATATCTTGAAACAGGTCGTCTAGGCTCTCGTAGATCTTGACGGGTGGCGGCGGGCCGCACGGTCGAGGGATCGGTTCGGTGGAATGCTCTGTCATGGCAAAGGTACCTATTCTAGAAGTGCATCGAGAGGGTCAGTTTGAGCCCCTAGGCATAAAAGAAATGGCAGCGTACCGGCGTGAGGGCATTACATGAAGAGATCGGGTTGTCGATGTGACTGGGTCGTCGGCAATTTTGCTGCTGCTTCGGCGCTGTTGATCTCGAAGCGACTTTGCGGAAGTTACGCAACGGTATAATAAGCTGGCCAGGTGACAGCGGCCCGAGATTTTGGTATTGGTGATTCACTCAGACGTATGGAAAAAATGATTATCTCGATTAGGTATAGCAGAGTGCTTGATAGTATTTCGTGGGTGCTTGGGAGCCCTTCCCATAAGAAATATTATAGATATAAAGCCTAGTTATTTAAAGTAGTGGGGGTCGAATACCAAGGAGGTGGTCGAACTGGCCTGGCAGGCCCGGTGGGAACAACAGAGAGCTAGTCAACAAAGTACTACTCGACAGAGGGTATTAAACAGGAGGATAGCCGACGAAGACCCCCCAGCCCTCTTATTTACCGACAAAGCTCTGACGAGACACGAAGGTCTTACAAAGGCGCAGAGCTCCCTCCTTTCCCAGGCCCGTATCGGGGATATAGGCCTCCGGGACTACCTGTTCAGGGTGAAAGTCCCGGAGGTCCGTACCCCCTATTGCGAGTGCGGGAGGGGCAGGGAGACAGTGGAGCACTTGGTGGTTTGGTGCGCCGACCCGCCGTTACAAAGGCCGTGGGACGGCAGAGAGATTCGGTCACATCGGGACCTACAAACCGTATTACGGGGAGTAGGTGCCCGGAGCAGAAGATTTGTTAGGAAGGTCCTTGGCTGGCTGATGGACTCTGGCCGGCTACTGGAGTATAGGCTGGCCAGAAGGCTGGAGCTAGAAACAGTGGATGGGGAGGGCTAGAGGGCCCGGAGGCCGGCAAAGGGCCTCCTTTCTTTTTGCAGTATGACGGATTCATAGATTGTTGTCTCAAAGTGGTAGACAGAGGTTTTTATCCGGCCTATACGGTACGGTTTCCTTTGTAAATAGCAGTAGAAGGACCGGCGCGCCCCAGGGCATATCGGTGTAGGAAATAATAATAATAATAATAATAATATCGGGTATTTCTTGTAACAAGCTTAACTATTTTTTCTAACTAGGAGTTAACTACTTCTTTTTCTAGTAAGCTATAATACCTGTGAGAGACGAGGGACATTTGGGCGAGGCGCGGGGGCATGCCGATGAGGCTCTATTTCTACTAATTGCAAGATGGGGAGAAAAGGAAGAGAAGCTGGAAGAGCTCGCGCGATACAGGAGTTAAATGCCAGCGCGTGTGGTCACGTGCCCAACCAAGTGGAGCCACAGTGCACCCCAACGGCAGCTGCCGTCACAATACCTTCATAAATTATTTAGATATAGACATCTTATTGTAATATAGGTAAACGTAAGAGATCTTTCTCCCTAATTAAAAGGCCCTTAAAGTATTATAGGAGAGAGGAGAAGAGGGAGAAGAGGATTTAGGTAACCCTTTTTATAGATATTTTTCTATCTATATCTATAGTTCTTCTGATAGCTATGGTTTTATTCCATAATTTATTAGGTTTTAACCTAATTTAATATAGCTGGAGTGGATTATAACTTAGTTTTACGTATTAATATACAATGGTTATAGAAAGAGTTAGAAAGTAAAGGATAGTTTTTATTACTAGTAGGTAATACAGAAGGTAGGTAGTTTTTCAAATGGAAACTCTCATACTTTAGATCTCCTTTAAGGATAGATTCGATACTCCTTACCTTCTGCTTTCACTTTCTAGTTATTATATATAGCCTCGACGGCGGCGAGCGTTGTCCTCACCGGCTGCCGCAAGATACAGCAGGGGCTTAGCTCGAGGAGGGGCAACAGGGGCCGACCGCGAACCTCGGGACCTCAAGGGCCTACGGCGGTGGAGAGAGCCGCGGGCACGGTCATGCGCTGGACGGGGGGAACCGTTGATACGAACAGGGTAGTAGAAGAGGCTTGGAAAGCCAGGTGGTTAAAGGAACGGGACGGCAGGGCAATCACCAGGCCCGGCAGACGACTTTGACCATCAGCAGGAGACGCTATTCCGGAACGAAACCCTAAGGAGGCACGACGGTCTCAGCAAGGCAAAGAGCTCACTGCTGATTCAAATCCGGACGGGAGCAATAGGCTTACGGGACTTCTTGTTTACACGGGAAGTCCCGGAGGTTCTGACTCCTGCCTGCGAGTGTGGCGAGGGACGAGAGACTGCCGAACACCTGGTAGTGTGGTGTTTGGCACCACCGTTGACTCGAAGACGGGAGAGAACTGGAATTCGGACACGACGGGACTTTTACTCTGTTCTACACGGCATCAATCCCACGACTGCACGGCTCGCGAGGAGAGTCCTCGACTAGCTGATGAACTCGGGGAAGCTGCCGATGTACAGCTTAGCCAGGAGGCTCGAGCTAGAAGCGGCGGCCTGAAGCGCCCCCGTTCGGAGGCCAGGAGGCCTCCTCTCTTTGTATACGCAGACTCACCAGAACGCATCGTTCCTTGATTATTGGTATGGATTTTTCGCCCGGCCCGGGAAGGCACGGTTTTCCTGTACACAAAAAATAGCAGAGGGTCCGGCACGCCCTAGGGCACAGCGGAGTATAAATAACACTACTAATATATATAATAACTCTTAGGAGAAAACAGAAGGTAAGGAATATGAAATCTATCCTTGAAGGAGATCTAAAGTAAGTCCGTGCACCCACCTCCCGGTCAGGCTACCAATCGATCAAATCTTTCTCCCCCTGATTCGGCACCTTCTCTATTCCAAACCACCCAGTTCTACCAAAACAAGCTCAAATTTAGCTCCATTACTCTTATTCAAATTGTCCCTTCCATGGCTTCAGAAGATAACATCCAGCAGGCAATCCAAGCCGTCAGGGATGGCCAATCCATCCGCAAAGCTAGCGAGGCATGGGGAGTTTCCTTTTCTACCCTCCGGGACCGAGTCGTCGCCAACGCCCAACCGAAGGGACAGTACGAAGCACAGGTGATGCAGAAGCTCAGCCCTGATCAAGAAAAACACTTGGCCGACTGGGTTCTTGCCCAGGAAGCTCTAGGGCTTCCGGTGAAGCATCGACAAATCGAGGTCTTCGCTAACCGTATCCTCCGTGCCTCTGGATCTGACCAGACTATCGGTGAACACTGGCTTCAGAAGTTCATCGGAAGATATCCAGTTTTAAAGACAAAGAAAGATAGACGTATGGATATCAAACGGTTGGATGCAGCTAGTACTGATGTTATCAAGGCCTGGTTCCATCTCGCGATCCCAGTCATCCAGACAATTGACCCGCAGGACCGTTGGAATATGGATGAAACAGGGATAATGGAAGGTCTGGGAATCAACGGCTTATGCGTTGCATTATCGGAGACGAAGGAAGCGTTGTCGAAACATCCCGAGTCCCGGATCTGGACAACCATTATAGAGTGCATCTCAGCAACCCGAAAAGCTCTCCCACCGTTAGTCATCTTCAAGGGGAAAGACATCCAACAACAGTGGCTCCCTGATAACGACCAAGACCTTGATCCATTACGCAACTGGCGGTTTTCGACGAGTCAGAATGGCTGGACATCTTATGATAATGCCCTCGAGTGGCTGACAAAGATGTTTTGTCCGACGACGGCGACATCGAAGAAGAGGCTCCTTATTGTTGATGGCCACGGTAGCCACGAGACTGACGACTTCATGTGGACCTGTTTTTCCAACAATATCTACCTCCTCTTCTTACCTGGACATGCCTCCCACGTTCTACAGCCCCTCGACCTGTCGGTTTTCTCTCCGTTGAAGACCACTTACCGCCGTGGTATCAACGACCTCACTGTGATGACAGACTGTGCCCCCATTGGCAAGAGGCTCTTCTTACGGTGTTATGCGCAAGCCAGGAAGGATGCCATCACAGAAAGGAATATCCGAAGTGGCCGGAAGGCATCAGAATTGTGGCCAGTCAACCTAGACAAACCTCTGATGACTCGTCTACTGTTGAACCCAGCCAGCCAGCCAGCCAGTGACCGTCGGCTAATCAAGACTCCAAACCGCAGCCAGGAGGTCCACAGATTGATATCAACAAATGTCCGTCTACGACGACTGCAAACAATAGATAGACCCAGTGGCTAGGATTCTTTTCAAAAAGGTGGGCAAAAGCCTGGATAATACAGCCATCAAGGTAGCTAGTTAAGAACAGAAGATCCCGGAACTAGAAGCTGAGGTAGATAGACTAAGGCCGAGAAAAAGGAAGAAAGTCAGGATGGATCCCAACACCCGGTTTGCCCAGATTGAACAGATCATGCAGGCTAAAAAAGCACTTGCGAAGCAGCTAGAACCCTCAGAGAAAGTGGATGGATATGTATTTGAAGATATGTGGCTGGAATGGTCAATTTTTGACCCTCCTGTAGATACTGAAAATGGGGAGGCAGATGGGGAAATTTGATCGGTTGGAGGCCTGACCGGGAGGTGGGTGCACGGACTTACCCCGTGGATCCATCTCCTCGAAAGGGCTCACCCACCTTCCGAGGTCAAAGTAACGAAATAGATAAAATGAGTTGTAACCTCTGTTCTATCGGTGCCCCTCTGCTACTCCGCTTCGGCCCCGTGCTACTCCGCTTCGGCCCCGCCGCGGGCCTCCTCGTTGTTCTCATTTTCCAGCTCTACCGCCAGCCGGAACTCGTTCAGCCTCCCCAGCCCAAGTACCCACCCCACCACTATGGCAGCCTTCTCCACGTCATCGAGCCACTCCAGTAGCTCTGCGCCGTCGTCTGACCAGGGCTGAGGTTTAGCTGCGGCTCCGTGGCATTCCAGTACGTATTGATCTTTATAGGTAGTAATGTAACTATTATAAACCTATCTTGATTAGAGGGAGGCTGATATATACACCTAGTATAGTCGGTATGGTAAAGCGGTGATACACCTCAAAACCACACACACCACCAACGCTGGTCACGTGCCACGCTCGTTGTGATGTCAATGCAGCATGAGAGAGGAGATGGCTCAGGAAACAACTTTCGATGCCACGGATCCTACGATCGTGTTGTCGGTACGCCTTCGCGTGTGGCCCTCTGGCCAGTGGGTCGCGGTCACCGTGACCGCGGAAAGGAGTCACTTCTGCAAGTGTTGAAAGAAAAGAGTGAGAATTGTCTGCCCCCTTAACCCTTGAGAGGGCGGGAGCTGTCTCTCCTAAATACATGAGAAGTGCCAAGGTGGAAAAACGGAAAATAGATAACCCTACCACTCTGGCCACTGCAAGGCGTATACCCCAGTTCAATGGGTTTTTCATCCGGCCCGCGAGGGCATGGTTTTCCTGCACAGTAAATAGCAGAGGGTCCGGCACGCCTTAGGGCATAGCGGAGTATGATTAATAATATATAAACCTAGTTTAGAAGATCCTGAATTAGGTTTTATCCTGTCCGGAGGACAGTATTGTTCTGAAACTTTTTCGTTAATTACTAATCTGTAACTATGGGAAATTGATAAGGAATTGCGGAGCTTTTTTGAACCTTTTCCAACAAGCGGATAAGCCTTGCTCCACCACTGCGCCCCACTTCCCGCAGCACCCCACACCGTCGCTCTCCCAACGCAGCAGCTACCAACGATCTAGCCGTCGCGCAAAGCGACCTGTCGCTTTCTTAGCTGTTGTGTGTGTAACGCTTCGCATACTCTTTTGGCTTCAGCGTATGCCCGTTATGGCCGGGTTTTGTCACGGGACGGGGTCAGGGGAGTCGCGGGACAGGGTCAGGTTCTGGCTAATGACTCAGTTGTGCGATGAGGAGAGAGGAAGCTCTCGCAAGGGGACGCTAACGGAGAGGAGATCCTGCTGCTAGTGTGGGTCCAGGTCGCGTGGGCACGTGCTGCCCACGTGACCCAAGCAGGTCAGGCTTGGTGCCGTGACAGGTTTCGCTGTTTCACTTGTACGAGTTGAAGGCAAAACGATTTGATCCGGATGTAGTTAGCGTGCTAAGGCCCTATAGGCTAGGGTACGCCCTTGCTAAAAAACAATTGTTACTAACGGTTACTAACCGTTTAAAATCCGCTTTTTTGAAGCAAAAAAGCAGTCTGTGCGTACACTAGTCTATCTAGGGGAGTTAGGTGTCCCAATTAGGAAGGTATGATAAAACAGGCAGTATTTTCCTAAGTGTCACGGCACCAAGCCTGACCTGCTTGGGTCACGTGGGCAGCAGTATCTCCTTCTCCATTAGCGTCCCCTTGTGAGAGCTTCCTCTCTCCTCATCGCACAACTCAGTCATTAGCCAGAACCTGACCCTGTTCCGCGACTCCCCTGACCACGCCCCGTGACACTAAGACGATTCACACCCACTATTGTACTCTGCTGGTATAACTAGAGACCTCTCCAATGCCCTCGAATTATAGTACACGAATGTCAACATGTCTGCTTTTTCCTGGCTCAACTTGTTCCGTACCTTGTTGTGTATAAGGTTTTGATAACTGAAAGAACGCTCTGACGGAACGGGATTGGCCAAACAGTCAAAAAGTCGAAGAGCAGGCTCAACCAAGATGCAGCTTGGATTTTTTGCGCCAATGGCTAGCCAATAATTGGCGGGCTCGAGGATCCAACCTTCTGCATCATTGGGTGTCTGGAAGATAGATGTGTTCCGACGGAATTGCATTAACTGGATCCGAATGTCACGGGCGTTGTCTGGGGTAAAATGATGACGAATCTCTGAATCGATCAATCGAGCCATAGTGAGGCTGTTCGCGGGGTGTAGAAGCGACAAAAAATGGCTGTTGCGGTGGTGATGGGCGGCGTGTCAAAAAAGCGGTTTTTTTGGATTTTGGTGAAAAAAGCGGATTTTTAGCAAAGTGGTTTAATAACCGCTTTTTTGGCAAAAAAGCGGTTTTTTTCCTTCCCTACTATAGGCCCAGTGCCTCCGGGCGAAATAAATTCCATCCATCCATCCATCCATTCGCTGTTTCAATGGAGGGCGCTGCGTTGCCGGCAGCGCCGAAGGTGTGCCGGCGCTGTCGCGTCGAGAAAAATATCGACCAGTTTTACGATCGTCGTGGCAATGGCAGGCTTGTGTTAAACTGCCTGGAGTGCCGGGATCGGCTTGCGGGAGCTGTAAGTTCAACATCGTGATACCTTTCCGTTTTGTGTAGCTAACCTACAACAGAGAGCTGCATCGACGGCCGCCATCTCAGCTATGAGCGCGATCGGACGTGGTGAGAGCGCTGCCCTCTCTCTGCCCGACCCAGTACATCTTGCACCGCGGCAAAACCTCACCCATCGGGTACTTGCCAGTATGTACCATGAGGGTGGACGTCTGGATACGGACACGCCGGAGATGGCGGCTGCTCGCGGCCAGGTTTCAGCCATCCGGCGACAGCATCGCGTCCAGCGCCGTCAGGGCGAAGAGCCCTCCCAGACCCCCACCATGAGTGGTCTGCTTCGTCAACAACAGCCGGCGGATGCCGAGGATGGCCCCGCCTCTGCCCAGCAGAGGGATGATGCACCGAGCGCCGTGAGAGACGACGAGGACAATCCGCAGGCCACCCAACCACAGCTCCCCCGCGCTGGGCGGATTCCTGCACGCCGTCGTCCCCCTCCCAGTTCTCCGCCACGGTCTCATGGTCGTCAGCGTGGACGGCCACGACTTTCACGCAACCCGGTTGGCCGACCTCGTGGTCATCGCTCCGCTGCGGTACCCCCCCCGTGACGAGTCTCCACCCCGCCAATTCGACGAACCGGGCCCCCGATTCACAGGCGGCGACCAGGAGACGCCACTTTTGGCCGAAGACATTGCAGTTAAGAGAGAGTTAGAGGAGGCACTTGCTGCAGAGACGATGCAGCGATGCCTTCGTTGCAAGGAGCGATGATGGTTTGACGTCAAGCTCATGGCGGATGGTGTTTGCAAGCGCTGTCATGACAAAGATGACAAGAAGCGGCAGGACGAACCTTTTCTCCTCTCCGCAGAGAACAAGCTTGATTTTGGTGCCGTCCCACCCGAGTTGCCCCAACTAGAGCCGCTGGAGGAGCTTTGCATTGCGCGTGTGCACGTCAGCGTCAATGTCTTCACGGTATACGATGCTTCGCTGCGAGAGAGTGTACTAGCTAATCAGCGTCAGGTTCGTGGGCAGCAATACAAGTATCGCGGGCATGTTGTACACTTTTTGCGCGACGTGGGCAAGGTGTACTCAGAGCTTCCCTTGCTGCCCAAGGATTTGGACATTGTCATCCTCCGACCGCGTGGATCCGAAGCGGTCGAACAGATGGATCGACAATTCCGCAACCGCTTCCGAGTCCGCCGAGCAGCAGTCGAGACATGGCTCAGATTCCTCGCCAACAACCACCTTGGCTACAGAAATTTCACCTGGAACTACGACAACCTCTCCCAGTTGCCAGAGGACGGTGACGTCTTTGACCAGCTGAATATCCACGAGGTCGCCGAGTCTGGAGGTTTGCCTGCAGATTCTGGCCCTGTTGAAGAACCGGAAGAGGACAGAGAGGTTGTTGACGAAGCCGCAGTGCCCAATATGCTAATCCATGATTCGGAATTGAACCAGCTTCAAGGGCGAGTCAAGGATGGGGCTACTGAGGTCAATGAGCAAGTGCCCCTAGAGTCAGCCGACCCCCAGGCTGCTCACCAGCTGCAGATGCCTTCCATCCGGCGCACTCCCCTCGATGAGTTCAACCAAAAGCATGCGCTGCTCTCTCTCGCCTGCCCGACCCTGTTCCCTCGGGGAGTTGCGGATTTTGTCGAGCCCAGACAGCGCAAGATCTCCTGCTAAAATTACATCCAGCATGCCATGAAATGGGAGGATGGCCGATTTGCCAAACACCACAGCTTCCGATTTATCGCGCTAAACACTCTGATGAGGCAGCAGGCGAGGGGTCATAGCCGATTCTACGTCAGCAAGAACCACCGAACGCCTCTTACGAAGGAGGCGCTGCAGGAGGCGCTTGCTGATCCGGACACGCCAGAGGCCCAGGCCATCCTCAACCGGATCTCTCGCTATGCTAGTGTCATCAAAGGCACACGTCCCTTTTGGTACCGCCGACGTCGCGAGTGCGAGTCTTTTGCGCACTGTCTTGGTGTCCCCTCTGCTTTCATCACACTGAGCCCAGCCGACCTGCACTGGCAGAGCCTCTACCGGCACATGCCCGAGTACGAGGAGTGGAAGGCGCTTGATGAGCCGAGACGCATGGCCAAGTCCCGCCGGCTGTTGCGGGAGAACCCGCATATCGCGGCCTGGCACTTCCACTCGCGGAACTCGCTTTGCAGGAAGATTGTGCTGAAGAAAAAGTCCAACGTGGCCGACTTTTGGTACCGGTATGAGTGGCAAGGCCGCGGCAGTAGTCATTCTCATGGGCTCTACTGGTTCCATGGGAGCCCTGCTCCTGATATGGCAACCCCCGAGGCGAGAGAGCGCTTCGCAAGGATCTGGGGATATCACGTTACAGCAGTCAGTCCGCAGCAAGAGCAGGGCGCTGACGAGGGTAACCCTCTGTCTGTTGACCCTCTGGAGACGCCCGTTACCTGGGAGTGGCTGAACAGAATCGTCAACCGCTGTCAGCGACACCATTGCTCGTCGACCTACTGTCTGCGGGTGACGAAGGAAGATGCCCAACGGGCCAGAGAGGCGGCCGGGGAGATTGTCGGTGAAGAACGGCCGGCGCCAGAGCCCACGTGTCGGTTTCTCTTCCCCCGGCCTGTACGGGGGGCGGCCGAGGTCATCGAGATGGCCGGAAAGGGCTGGTGGTCGTTCGAAGCCGAGCGCAACGATACCCACCTGAACCAGTACAACCCACTTCTCTCTCTTTGCTGGCTGGCCAATACGGACTGCTCACCCTGCACGAGTGCGGAGGCTGTTATCAACCATGCTGCGAAGTATTGCAGCAAGTCCGAGACCCAGACCAGCACATATGCGCAGATTGCCCAGAGTATCCTTCCCCACATATCAGACAACAACCCGATGATTTCTTTTGTGTCAAAGATGATGAATAAACTAATCGGAGAGAGGGACTACTCTGCGCAGGAGATCTGTCATATCCTCCTGGGACTCCCTCTGCAAGAGGACAGCCGAGTGGTGCAGAGCGTTGACTGTAGGCCCCGCGAGAGACACGCTCGTGCAATTGACATCACGGCGGATGGCGATATTGAAGAGTCTCGGACAGTCTACGAGAAGTATCTCCGACGGCCCGATCATATGGAGGATGTCTCCTACTTCGAGTTCCTACAAAATTGGAATTTCAAGGCGCGGAATCCGGTGAGATGGGCGATTTGGCAGGCTCCCGCACTGCCCAGGGTGTTGTACTATTACCCCCGGTACAAGCCAGTTCGCTCACATCAGCAGTACTCCGACTTCTGCCGGGTCAAGCTGCTGCTAAGCCATCCCCACCGCCAGACGGAAGATCTGTCCCAGGTTGATGGTCGACAGTTCGACAACCACGCATCTGCCTATCGCTACTGCCTTGAGCATCACGACCACCCGGATGACCACTACGGCACGGTTGACGAGCCTGATCCGTCTCCAGATGAGGAGGAGTTTGAGCCAAAGGGGGACGCCGGGGACATTACCCTTGAGGACTGGCAGGAGGTAGCGCGGTTGGTCCCCGACATTGAGCTTCCCGATGAACGGGCCGACTTGCTTGGCCGCCGGGACCTGGATGTCAACTACGACTGGGCGCGACACATCGGCCGCTATTACCACGAGGAGTTTACTACTGGAAGCTACTAGGTGCAGCTTCGCGGAGGACTCCAGGCAATTACGACGTGGAAGATATGCCTCTCGCAGCCCGTGATACGCTGAACACACAGCAGCGTCAGGTATACGACACGATTATGCGCCACTTCAGGGCGAAGAACGAGAACCGTCGGCCTCCGCCCCTCCGGCTGCAGATCGATGGAGGAGGTGGGACTGGCAAGTCGTATATGGTGAAGGTGATATCTTCTCACCTTCAAGCCAAGGCGGCTTTCTATGGCCGGCCCTCCCCCATCGTCAGAGCAGCTCCGACGGGCGTGGCGAGCAACCAGATCGGGGGACAGACTCTGCATTCCCTTCTGCGGCTCCCCGTCGACGGCAATTACCGCTCGCTCTCCGAGACCCCGACGACCCTCAACGCCTTGCAGCGGCGGTTCAGGGGCATCCACTACCTCGTGATTGACGAGAAGAGCATGCTCGGCCTCAAGACCCTCGCGTGGATCGATCAGCGCCTACGAGAGGTGTTCCCGGAGAATCGCGACGAGTTCTTCGGCGGCCTCAGCGTCATCCTGATCGGGGACTTCTTCCAGCTTCCCCCCGTTCTGGACAAGCCGCTGTACTCAACGCGCGACGACCTGAAGGATATCGAGATGGTCGGACGCAACGCGTACCTCTCGTTCGACAAGTCCGTGTTCCTGACCACAATACAGCGGCAGCAGGGCGAAGACCAGGCTCTTTTTCCGGCGGGCCTTGGAAGAACTGCGAAAGGCTGATGTGTCGGTACCCTCCTGGGAGCTCCTCGCTTCGAGATGCTCTGTCAAGCTCTCTCCCGAGGAGGTTGGCAGCTTTGCCGATGCGCTTCGCATCTATCCCACCAAGGCCCAGGTCGTCGAGTACAACCACCAACACATGCTTGGCCTGGACAGCCCCGCCATTCAGGTCGAGGCAAAGCATGAGGGTGTTGGTGCGGAGAAGGTTAAATCCTCAAATGCCGGCAACCTGGCCAAGCGCTTGCCCTTGTGTGTTGGTTGCAGGGTGATACTAACGCGGAATTTGTGGGCCGACGTCGGGCTCGTCAACGGCGCACAGGGCACAGTCTACGACATATCCTGGAAAGAAGGTGCCGACGTGCTGCGAGACCCGCCCGAGGTCATCATGGTGGCCTTCGATGACTACGACGGCCCGGCCTTCACGATGCCGAACGGGAGCCGCTCCTTAGCGGAGAGAAGCTGGCTGTTCCCATCCTCCGAGTGCGGCAGGACTTCATGGTCGGCGCCAACTCATGTTCGAGAGACCAGTTCCCGCTGTGGGTCAGCTATGCGATCACCGTCCACAAGTCACAGGGCATCACCCTGGACAAGGTCGCCTGCGATATCTCTGCGCCAGAGTTTGCTTCTGGCCTCTCCTACGTGGCCGTTTCGCGGGTGAAGACACTCGGCGGGCTGATGTTTGAGCGGCCCTTCGACCGCAGCAGGATCTACCGCGAGACACCATCACGAGCTATGGGGTTGAAGTTGTCCGATCACGCTACCAGGCAACTGCAGGCGTCAGATGCTGTGGCGGTGGGTTTATAAGTAGCGACGACGAGAGTGTAGAGGCATGAGTACTTAGAACGATAATAGAAATGATTGGTATAAGTGTGATAAGAAGCTCAAGGGGATGGAGTTATTAGCCGACGGACAGATATTGGCGCTTCGTCTCTCCCGTATTCAACCCTGACCCGGATTGTCCTCCGGAGAGGAACAGGAAAATTGCCAGGAGCGGGAGAAAGGAAGGAAGCGCCCCGTAGCGTAGCGAAGGGCCGCGAAACTGACGAACGAAGCGACGCCAGCAGCTCTAGTAGGCTTAGTAGGAGTTATTATAATATAGGATAGGCTACCTAGTTAGTAGTTATAGCTATAGAGTATCTAACTTGGTTTTACATCTGTGATCCAACTACTAGTCCTATAGACTCGACCAAAACACTAGTATATAGCTACAGAGCCAACAAATTCCATATTTACACTAGAGCCCCCGGGATAGCTACCACACCTATGATCTAAACCCCAGGGCTCAACAGTCATTACTTTATTCGCGCTATACTCATCGTCTATTTCCTAGCTAAGCAGCTCTCGCATATCCTCGATCCGCTGCATTCTTTTATCCTCATCCGACATCATACCAAGTGATGTTGCGCTGTGAAATAATGTCAGTACATTACTTAACAATTCACAGGCTGAGGAGGGAGAGGAACGTACAGGAACTTCTTGCGGTCCTGTACTTTGAGCATTCTTTGCTCCACACTATCTTTTACAATGAATCGGTAGACCTTTACCTCATCCTCCTGGCCCATTCGGTGGACTCGATCAATAGCCTGTGCTTCGATAGCAAAGCTCCACCAGGGGTCCATCATGTACACCCTCTTGGCACTCGTCAGGTTGAGGCCAACGCCGCCAGCTTTCAGGCTGAGGAGAAGAATTGTAAACTTCTTGGATTCTTTAAACTCTTCAAGAACGGCAGCGCGCGCTTTCTGAGTCATGGATCCATCTAACCTGACAAAATGCATGTTGGCTCGCGCAAGAGCCGGTTCGAGGAGGGAGAGGAAAGATGTGAACTGACTGAACACGACTGATTTGATAGTCGGGGTTTCCCTGCGGAGTTCACGGAGTTGGTTGATTAGCGCAACAATCTTCGCGGAGGAGTTGCCGACCCCAAGCCGTTGGAGAGTGATGCGCGGCCCCTGGTCGACCCCACTAACATCTGGGTCGTCGTCATATCGGACAACTTCGAACAGATCTCGCGAGTTAATGACCTCGCGGCAATGGAAGCAGCGGGGGACCTCGTGATGGTCAGACTGGTGTTTGATGTAGTCTAACAGACAATTCTTGCAAGCGGAATGCCAGCATCCAGTCACGGTCTGGTCAACCATCGGTTCCTCGGCACAAATAGGACATTCATTGATGGCCTCGTCACGGATTTGGCCGAGTACATGAGCACCGAAGGCGTTGGTGTCGGTCGTATCGTCCGTCGTCGCCGTAAAACGCTCGATTAGAGAATGAAGGTCCATATCGTCTGCAAGTCCGGCTGCGGCATCTGCAGCAGCACCGGCTTCCTCCTCCTCAGCAGCGATCTCTCGATTGCGGACAAGAATGGGATGACAGCATGATTGGCGAAGCCGGAGAACTTGTGCAAAAATGCTGGTGAAGGCCTTCATGACAGTGCCGGCCTCGACGTTGGCTAAGAAGGTACGTTTTGCTTTGGTGAAGATGTAGTCGTAAACATCACGCTCCGCCTTGGAGAGCTCAATGTCTATAATCTCGATCTGCTTGGGTGGGAGGGCCACTAAGGCCTTCCCGTCTGGCGTTTTCATATTCTTCGTCCTCCTCATGACGAGCGGCTCTAGGACCGTCTGGACAACATCCAATGCCCGCATGTAGTTTTTGGACTCAAATGGTACTGTGATGAATGTCCGCCAGAAGGAAAAGTTGTTCCACGGCTCGACCTTGAGAAATTTGACGAGACTGAAGAGATCCTCGAGTTTGTTGACGATAGGTGTCCCCGTTAACACCCACCGGTGCGTTGCGGCGATGTCATAGCAGGCTCTGGCCGTCTTGGATTGGCGGTTCTTGATGCTGTGACCTTCATCCAATATGACACGGAAAAAGTTTAGCGAGAAGAGACCACGACTGCCGGCCTTGCCGCTAGGCCTGGTTGCCATCTGAGTAAATTCAGAAAGTACCACACCGTAGCTAGTGATGATCACGTCCGGAGCGTTTGAGGCGTTGGCTTCGCAGCAAAGCTCCAGCAAATCGACGTTCTTTTCATTGCCATAGTACAGCAAGGACCTCAAGGTACCCTCCATGGAAGCATTCTCAGCCTCACTCTGCCACTGCGCGAGGAGTGACATGGGCGCAACGACTAAGGTCGTGCATGGGGCATCTGAGACAGTCTCGCATGTTTGCAGCGAAGGGAGACGCGGGAGCTGATTGACTGATGATGCCGTTCGATTGCCTTGGCGGGCGGCGATCGCAGTGTCGGACTTGTGTGTGTGTATGAGACTGAGCATCTGGATCGTCTTGCCTAACCCCATCTCATCAGCCAGAATCCCGCCAAGGCAGTGTTGGCCTTGCCGTGGAAACTGCAAAGACAGCTCCCCGGAGTATGGATTGACGTAAAAGGTAGGGTGGTCGGCAACGTTCGGAAGCTCCTTGTCGTCGTGATCCTTTGTGGGCCAACCGTACTCCTCCCACAAGGGATGCATGGATGTTTCGCGCTCTTCGCGCTGGACGTTCCTTTCCTTCGCCATCATCCAGTGAAGTGATTGTTTTTGATATGGACGTAGTGTGAGACGAAAGGTATCAGCAGGCTCTGCTTCGGGGGTGCTAAAATCGAATGATTGTGCTTTTTTGTAGAGGGCGTCAAGTTGGTCTTGTTCAAGCTCCTCGCCATCTTCATTGTCATCCGAAGGAGAAGATGCAGCAGTACCGCCCTGGCCTTGAGTTCTTGGTTTATCCTTTTCCTTGCTCTCAGCCATTTCTGCTGCATCGAGTAGACCTTGCCGTTGATTCTGTGCTGCTGCTGCGTTCCCTCTTGTTGGAAGAAGATTGATCTCTTGAAAAAGCCTAACAAGTGCCACTTGTCTCAGCCGCAGGTCCTTTTCCTCCGAGCTCTCGGTTTCCTCAAATTGGCCGGTTGTCCTGTTATCGGCGACGTGAAATTCCCGGCAAAAAGCTGATTTCAGAAGCGAGCAGCGAAGTTGCAGGAAGACAGTGTCATTGGTGCGCAATCTCTCGGGGGCGTAAACGCATGTCCCCTCAAAAGAGCATATTTCCTGATCCATCAAGGTCGACACCCAGTTTGCCGTATCCTTGGCCAGACGTCCAATTTCCCTGCCAACACTGTCGGTAAAGCGAACGATCACGTCAACCCTCTTGGCTGCCGCCGCACTGACGCGATAGGTTGGTTGAACCGGCCCGGGTTTGGGGTGTCCTTTGTATGACGTGGCCTTGGGAATTTGGATCCTCTGGCGCTCGATCTTGACGATATCACCGTGCTTTAAGAGGTTGGTGCCACTCCGTGTGGTCCACCCTTCGACGCCAAATGCGCCAATATATCTCGATGTAGGCATCGATTGTAGCGCGGACGGCCGACGAGGAAGCGGGCTTGAATCTCCAGATGTGCGGCGCACCGCAGGCGGGATTGAAGGGCGCGTACGAGTTGGAACCGGCGTTTGTCGTTTTAAGGTTTTCCAAGTGCCGTCGAGGTATACGTTGATGGCCCGCTCTAGATCGTTACCGCAACTCTCCCGAAGTAGAGCTACCACATCGGGTTTGACATTCTCGCCTACAAAGGCTTCCAATGTACTCTGGTCGAAGGCATCGGGACTTGGGCCCCCACTTGGCGCGGCAGGGCTCTGGCCGGTGGCTGCATCAACATGCCGTTGTGGGAGGGAAGATTTGTCGAGAGACGGCGAGTCCAGGGAGGGGTTGAGGATGGGTGCCGGCAGGGTATCGGCATTGATATTGTGTGGTTTCGTTGTTGCGCTGGACGGCGACAAGACTTCGCAAGAGGGGGCGGTATCGGGCCTCTGGGAGGTTTCACCATCCTCCGTATTCGCAAAAAAGCGCCGTCTTTTGATGGGTGGCTCATCAGAGCCGGGGAAATCCATTGCACCTAAATGTGGGCGTCATCGGGCAAGGCGACATATGAGGATGGGAGTGCCGCTACTAAGCCGACGTTGGTGCTGGTCTCGGGAGACGCGACTAAGAGAACGCGAAATTCCATGTCACGCTCATCAGGTGACCGCGCGACAGCAAGAACAAATGAATTCGAACTCGTTTGGACCCACAAATTCGAGCAGATTGGTGCTCTGATTGGCATTGTATCGCTGCCAATGTGTGCCGGGCATCCCAACACTAAACTAGAAAAAGCTCACCTCATGTATTTAATTCGAGCTGTTGGAAACGGCCTTAAGCAGGCACCTCGCAAAGCCCGTCGGTTTCACCGAGGCCTTGCGGCAAGTGCAGAAGCATCAGAAGTAGCTCAAGCACGCAGATACTGCCTGAACCAGCTCAGGTCTACGCCCTCGCCCTTCTTCCTTTGCAGCCCGGACATCAAACTAACAATTTCTTAGACATGGCGACTATGAGGCATATCTTATTCGGCACTTCATCCCCCACTCGGCTCAGGATGCCTACGATGCCCTCCGGACACTGAACCTTGAGCTCGCCCGCCTGCCCGAGACTGTGTCAAATCCAACCATAGGCCGCTTCCGGATGCAGTTCTGGCGAGACTCCGTCAATAGTACCTTTGCTGGCAACCCGCCGCGGGAGCCCATTTCAGTATTACTGCACAGCGCCATTACGAACCTCGCAGCGCGAACGGGGGGTGGCAGTGCGAGCTCACTCAAGTTCTGGCTTCTGCGGTTGATCAACACGCGAGAGAAGCACATGGAGAACAAGCCCTTTACCAACCTAGCAGCTTTGGAAGATTATGCCGAGAATACGTATGCCACACTCATGTATATGACGCTCGCGGCGATGCCCCTCCAATCGGTGCATATGGATCACTTGGCAAGCCACATCGGCAAGGCTTACGGCATCGCCGCATCACTCCGTGGGATCCCGATCCTCGCCGCACCTTCACAACCCATACAAGGCCCATCAGGTTCCAGTGTTGGTAGCACCAGAAGCCCTGCGCTACTGCTCCCGCTTGATGTCATGGCTGGGGTGGGCCTAAAGGAAGAGGATGTTTTCCGCCGTGGGCCAAACGCCGAAGGCTTACAGGATGCTGTTTTCCAAGTTGCTACTCGAGCCAATGACCACCTGATTACGGCACGCGAGATGCTCAAGAACTTGCAAGCTGGACATGAACCTGGGCACGATTATGAGCACCAAGAGGAGCCAGAGCATGCACACTTCGGTACGGTACATGATGGTGAGGACACGAAGTTGGACATCCAGCGCGGTTTTAGCGTGTTGCTGGAAGCGGTCGCGGCTGGAGATTACCTCCAGCGTTTAGAAAACGCCAATTTTGATCCTTTCAAGGTCAAAAGTAGCTGGAAACTTCCCTGGGGACTTTGGAAATCGTTAAGGCGACACGAAATTTAAAAAAAGTTCCAATGTTTAGTGACATCCTTCGAGAAACTGGCACAAGGTTAATCCTCTTGTATACCGCCGTTGCTTTGGACATGCTTCCTCCCACCAGTGCCGTTCGAGCTTGTGGTACGTACAAGAGTAAATGTCAAAACTCGATTTTTCAACAAACCCACTTGCTGGGCGCCAACACTTTGGTTTCTCCACCAAGGAGTGCGGAAGCAAGCCCTGAACCGGCAAGCTCCTCATAGAGCTTGCTCCCCTGGGAAATTCAGAATCGACAGGGCTGAGCGAGCATCTTTAGAGCCGGCCCTAGCCGGCGACGAAAAGGTTTTCTCACTCCGAGACGAAGATTTGCTCCGAGGTTCCTCCACTACGGGTCCGATGCCACGGAAATAACTCGCGGATGGCGGCCCGGCTCCACCAGTTTGCGAGCTGTTTACGGACCAGCACAGTACAGTTTGTCCATTCCACAAGCCCAACGACAGTGAGTTGCACTTTTGGCAACGTTCCTTATAGAAAAAAAACTCGGCACTCGGTAAGGACTCGACGAAGAAATCCTCCTTTCCGGGTCATGTATCTAGGTCATGTATTGAGCTTAGTGTTTAGAGCAATGGAGAGTCTTTTCAGCGGACATCTCGATTCCCGTCTCGGGCCGGGTTACGGTGGGTATGCCATATCAAACTCGGCCCGGTGACTCTCCCGGGATCGGCGAAGCTTGAACAACGCGACCGGGTCCGCACGAACCTAGGGGGTTTACTTGGTCCCCTCTTTGGGATCAGTTAGTGTATCCATACAAGTTGGTTAAATATGTGAGCGATTGTCCCCCGTATGCGAGACCAGTTTACTCAGGCGCCGAGCCAAATACAGAGAGGTGCCTTGGCTGGGGAGCTGCTCTTATCGAACTGTTCGACGGCGGTTAACCAATCATGGCAACAAGACGTGGTAATAATTTAAAAAGAGCCGGGCACATGAGGCCTTGCAGAGCGGCTCTGGGGCCGAGAAAACACCATCTCCGAGGAACGCCACAAGGGCGCTCGACGTCATGAGACGAAGAGGTCTCCAACTCTCTCGGTACTTGAAGTGTTTGCGTATAGTTTTTCGGTGTAACTAAGGTACCACCCACCTACAAAGCACGGTTCTCTGGGTCATGAATAAGAAAGGGCCGCCGAAGGCCGGGAAGTTGCCGGTTCCTCGTGCCGAGAACAATTGCAATCGCTGGCGGCTCATAGACGGGCCCTGGAAACCGAACCCTACTGTGACCTTCGCCATCTCAGTCAGGGCGAAGACGCGAACCTCGTTTCGGATTAATGGTCCCGCGAATGTGACTGCACCAGGGGAGTCATCAAAAGAAAATTTTCCTTCCTGTTTCCTCGTTTCTTCCTTCCCCCCACCAGGTGACCTGGCTTGAAAAAGTTGGTTGTAGGGAGCGTTCCAGGCGCCACAGAGCCCTGGTGCCTTGTGACCTCACAACGGCTTGGCGCCCGATGGATCAGCCCTCGCTGAGCTTTGCTGTGGGTCAATGATGTGATCTAGGCCCTCGGCGACGCTCGAGAACCATGTGTCTTACACCTCATGGACAACGATCTGCTTGGACTTCGTAATTGACAAATTCCGTAACTGCGTAACAAACCTGTACAGCTGCTTGTATCTATTCGTTCATATTGCCCTCAGCTGAGAGCGCGTGCGGACCAAAGTAAACCCGGGACGAATGTGTTCAAATTCAAAGAGCAATTACCTGCAACTGGCTTCCTCGAATTTTGGTACAAATGTCCTTGAACCGGTGCCCGGATACCAGCCTAGCCTTTGCCGGGGAGGCGTCGAAGGAAAAGGAGTCCCTCATGGGGTTTCCATCCTAGACATACAGTGCGCTTTCAAGCAGCAAGTTCTTGTGGCGGGGCGTTCGGGTGGGTCTCAGGAACATGCCATGGGCCACGCGCCCGGCCGCGAGCCGGCCTCTTGACATATAATTACTTGATGGAAACCCAAAACTTTGCATGCTCGCTGGGTGAATATATTTACAGTTTGTTTCCAATCTACCTTGCAACAAGGTTTCGGTTTCCAGTTCATGTTTCCGCACGGTCAATCTGTTTTTCATGTACCATCTTAGTCCACCACAAACCCCAACCCCATCACCACAACTTCGTGCTCTCAGATATCGGAAGCAGCATCCTCACCGAGCTCGGCCTTGGCCTCCCGTTTAACCGGCCATCCAATCCTACAGATTTGTCGTCTTGGTCAAAGCCCGTACCTCTCAGCCCACGACTGTTTCTTGGGCTTGACGACAGCCGCACACGCCGCTGAGTTGTAGATGATGGTTTGGTGGTATTGGGAGCGTTGAGTTCGTTCCCCACACGAGCGCACCGGGCTTTTACGCTGCATCATTGTGGCGCGGTCAGGCAATCCGATCAGTCCTAGCCCGCTATTTCCCCGCCACCATCGGCAGGGGAGGTCGTGTCGAGACAAGATGCCGCACCGAGTTGTGGACTTCTTTCGGTCGTCGACACATTCAATCGAAGCCCAGGTTTCAAATTTGTCTAAAAAACAAACCCCAGGTCACCGGCGGAGGCGGTATTCCCCGAACAGAGTAGGCAAGGGTTCTACGAGCTCTGGACGGGCATCCTCGGCGTTGGTCGGCGGGGGTAACTCGGATATCCCCCCTGCGCCACCGTATTCCCCGCGTGTCAAGATGGCCGATTCGAGGGCAAGCAGCTTTTCGTCGAGTTCACACAAGGAACGTGAGGATCACCACCAGCACCACCGAATTTCGTTCCCCAGCATGCACTTCGGCCGCTCAAGCAAGGAGGCACCCGGCTCTTCACCGGCAGCCCTGCATTGGAAGCTCGAGTCGCCGCCTCTCGTCATGTATGGCGACCACCAAACCAGCAGTGGCGCGCTACTCTCGGGCCAGTTGTTCCTAAATGTTAAGGAAGAGGACCTGGAGGTTGCGTCGCTGGATGCCACCCTCAGTATCCGCGTTACCCAGAAGAGGCCATTTGCGAACCACTGTATTGACTGTACCACTCAGCGTACAGAGTTGAAACGGTGGGAATTACTTCAACATCCACTAGTTATGGCCAAAGGTACGTTTGTTGCCCGACCACTTAAGAAGTATCGAGACTCACGATAGCAATCATAGGCGAGCATTCATTCCCTTTCTCCGTGTTACTTCAAGGACATCTTCCGGCTAGCATGGACGGCCCGCTGGTTTCAATTTCGTACGAGTTCAAGGCCGAGGCTGTTCCAAGGTCGGATCACAGCGCACTGGCGCCCATCAAGTTCGAAAAAACAGTCGAGGTCAGACGCAGTCTCCCGACCTCCGAGACACCGCACCACTCTGTCCGAGTCTTCCCTCCTACGAATATCAAGGCTAGCGCGTACTATCCTCATGTGATCCATCCGATCGGCAGCTACACTCTAGCGCTCCGCCTCGACGGTATCGCAAAACTGAACTCCAAGGTCAACACCATCGAATATTGGAAGTTGAAGAAGCTCACGTGGAAGCTCGAGGAGACGACGAAGACGATTGCACCGGCCTGCGACCGACACAGCCCGAGGCTGGGCGAGGCCACGGATGAACAGCAGAGCAAGAAAGGCGTCATTCGCTCGGAGAGCCGCATTATTGGAGAGAAGACTCTTTTCTCGGGATGGAAGAGCAACTACACAAACGCAACGGACAGTCTTGTCGAGATGGAGCTTGACTACAGCCTGGCAAAGAATGCCAGATACGCATGTGATAGCAGGAGTCGTGACGGAACCGAGGTGACTCATCAGCTGGTAGTCGAGATGGTGGTTTCACAGGAATGGGCCCCTGTCAACAGGCCATCTCTTGTGACACACACGGGTGTTGGGCGCATCCTACGGATGCATTTCGGCACCGTCCTCACGGAGCGGGCGGGGATCGGGATCAGCTGGGATAACGAGGCGCCCCCTATTTACCAAGACGTGCCTCCTAGCCCGCCCGCTTATTCTCAGGAGGCTATCTCCTTCGCCGAGAATTCGATTGCAGAGTTAATGACGCCACTCGACGGCGCTCACGGGGGGCTGTCACGCAGTTCCACTGACATGGCTATCGTTGGTGATCTCAGAGAAGGCGCCGGGGGCGTGTGAAGGGTATCGCCCAGCTAACGCGCGAGGGCGAGGCACCGGAACTTGGGCGGTTCTGCTACTGGCGTGGTGCGTGTCTGAAGAAAAAGAAATCGGTGTTTGCAACGGTGGGTGACACTGCGGGAGGGTGGGATGGTCTCTGAGGAGTTTGATTTGCGCGAAGATACCCTTAGTCGTTTTTTTTGGTTGTTGTTTTCTTTTTACTACTCTCACATTCTCTGTCTTGGGATGGAAGGTTGGCAAAAGTCAAAGGGCGCGCGAGAAAGCGGCTTCAAACATTGAATGTAGTTCATTTAATAGCTGATCTGCCTAGGCGGGCCGCGCCTAGGTGGATAGATACCTACAGACTCTTAATCGGGAGTAATGCAAGTTCAGTTGTGCATGGAGTGGCCCCATTCTCTTGCAATCCTCGCGCTTCTCTCGACTCATCCGTGTCGAATGAGAGTGTATGAACGTCAGCCCCTGCGAAAGCTCGGACAGATGTGACTCCCCCCGCCGGGTTTGCGGGGTAGGAACGTGGTTGTGGGGCATATTCTGCGACCAAGGCAGCTTTTATCGATAAGCTGGGTCGCCTGAGAGCTGGCCGATGACTCTAGAGCCATTCCCCCACTCAGCTGGTGAACGAAGTCAACAAGATCCTATAAAGCGCCTAGATATGGCATGAGAGTGCCTCCCTATCATTATTTGGATAGATTTCCCTGAAAGCAACATCTACCGAAGATCCCAGACTTAAATGAACGCACAGACGGTTTGGGTCAACTTAAATGATCCACGGTCTTGTAAAAGCCATCAGTCCTGTATCCAATCCTCCCTCAAGATTTAACTTCCACCATAGGGGCAAGACCGACTGGATCACACATGGGCCACCAGATCCCGCGAAACAACATACCTATACAAAGCGGAGGAACAGGACAGGCCGCATTGA